TGTGTGTGCGCGCGTGCGCGTGCGCTCACGTGCGCGCGCTCGCGCAACAAAGCGTGTGTGATGTACATAGGCCACCTTGTCATGACCCCCAGCCAGCAAGCTCATGCCTTGAGCGTCTCCTGATGTTACTGCACTGTAGTGTTCGTGGCTGGCGGGTTTGCGGCGTCGCCGTACGTGCTGCGCCGCCTGGAAGCACAGCTGGGCAGGGCCTGCACACACTCTGGCGTCCTGGTGGCATCAAACCCAGGGGCTGCGGTACTCAAGGGTGCGCCACGCCTCCCCTTTGGCGAACGCTTTTTGAGCAAGGGATCAAACGTGCGCCATGCAAGGTTCATCTTCCCCCACCTGGGACAGTGTGCTGCGCACCATCAAGCCGTGTTCCTGGAGTAATCTCTGACAATTGCTCCTCCCCTACAATGGCATGTTCCAGGCGCTGTCATCTATGGGGACTGCCCCCGCCTCATTGCCCGCCGCATCTCCTCTCTCTCGTATGGCGTGCAAGCCAGCATTCCCTACAAGCTTGGCATGCCTGGGAAGCCATCCTTCTCCCCCCTGACGAGGCATCTGATGTGAGCTGTGGAGCCAATCATGCTTGTGGTGCACTAGTGGGTTGCCTTGCCTCGGATACATCGCAGCTGCACACAAACCATTTTCCTTGCTGCCGGGACAGAGTGAAACCTTCAAAGTAAAGCTCAAGGCATCATGCACGCCCAACATGTCCGCCCAGGTGCGACGTAAGCTTCCGTGCATTTGCGCCCAAGGGGCAGTACGTCGGTGTGGACGAGGAGGTGCGGCACATTTTCGGCACGACCTACCCGTGCCAAACGGCAGCAGACGTGCGAGTCTACTGCACCCCAAAGGCCTGCGAGGAGTTCATATCGGACCCTGGCATGCGCCGTCTGGGGGCGGTGAGGCTGGAGATGCCGCCGCCTCACACCGAGGGCAGCCGTGAGTTGGAGGTGCGTGGCCTGAACACACACGGTTCCTGCCCAGCACCGCATGCACCCACGCCCCTGTCATCCAGCGGCGGCCCAAATCATGAACAGCCTGCTTCCCTTGGACCATCTGCACATCAATGCACCCTGACGAGAATCTATACCCTACACGCCCCTGCCTTCTCACAATGACCCAGATATAGGTGGTGTTCAAGTTTGGCGGCGCTGAGATTGAGGTGACAGCGGCCGACGTGGTTTCAGGGAAGGAGGTGCGGGCGTCGCTGCAGTTTTTGACGGGCGTGTGATGCAGCAGGAGCAGCTGCGCGCAGCTGGATAGCAAGCAGTAATTGGTCTTGCTGGAGTATGATGATATCTGACGTGCCGCAAATTTTCTGCGCCTGGACAAGGGCTTTGGCATTGAGCCAAATGACCAGGCACCAATTTTGCATGCAAATCACAGCAATACGTCTGGATGTAATTTGACAACACAGCATACATCACGCCAGCAGATCAGAAAAAAAGTGGCGTGATACACCCGACCGTCCCGCCCCCCCACCCTGGGCGCGGGCTGCTCGCGCGCAGCTCGCGCAAGCGTTCCAGCGCTTGACGGCGCTCCGGCCCAGCCGAGCTGCAGCCGCCGCTGCTGCAGACCTCCCCACCAGCATTTACTGCCTGAGGCCGGTTAGACCACAGCGTGCCACGAAAATCCGCAGCCGTGCTCGGCCCGACGCAGCCTGCCCTATCACCGCCACTGCTGCCCCTTGCGATGCCTGTCCCGCCCCGTCCCTCGCTGCTGCTGCCGCTGCTGCATGCCGCAACTGCCATCCCAACAATTTGCGGCAGCCAAACACCAGCAGGATGCTCCACGGCATCGTTTGCGGCACCAGCCGAAGCCGCGGCTGACCACACATGTCCTTGCCCCAAGCCAGCCGCAATGACGCCGCCCGGCGTGCCAGCCGGCATCGCAAAAGAGACTGCCACGCTGTGGCCTGCCCGACAGTCGCTCGCACGTGGCTGGACGCTCTGCTTGCCAGCTTGCCACGAGGCAGCAGCGCGGAACGCGCCGCCACCGCCGCCACCGCCAGCGCTGCCAATGCCAGGGGCAGGGCCGCAGCAACCCCGCTTGCCGTCGCCTTCGTGGCACGATGCCTCTCGCGCGTACCCGGCCGAGCGCCGCCGCGCGTGCTGCAGCGCGTACGACGCGGCGCGCCCATCATCCCCGACAAGCCTACCAGGCCCGCGCCGGCCGGCACCGCGCACGGTCTCGGCCCATGCCGTAGCAGCTGACGAAGGCGCGGTTGCGACGCGAACAGCAGTTGGGGTTGGCCAGTGCGGGCCGGCGTCACACCGTGACAGCCGCACCGCCCAGGTGTTGTCGCTGCTGTCGTCAGACTCTGCTGTGTGCGCGTTCAAAATAGCATCGTGCTGCTGCTCTTGCTGCTGCTGCTGCTGCTGCTGCTGCTGATGCTGCTGCTGCTGCTGCTGTTGCGGCTGCTGCTGTGATGGCTCTGGTTGCTGCGCTGTCAGGGGGAAAAACTCTCGCGTCGGCGACCACTCGCCTGCCTGCTGCTGGTGCGGCACCTTTCCTTCTCCTACCCCGCTGTGGTTGCTGGGCGACAGCCCATTGCTGATGTGGACTTCTTCCTCACCAGACTGCGCAGAGACCGGCCTTTGAAGGGCCGGACCCGGCACGCCGCACGCCGCCAGGCCCTGCTGCACCCTGCCAAGCCGCTGGACCAGCTCCCGCAGCTGCGCCATCAGCCCCTGGGGGAGAACAATCTGGATGGCATCGCTGGGCATGCTGCTGTTAGGGGTTGTGTTGCTGCTGCTGCCGCCGCTGCTTGTGTGCCGCAACGGCACGTGAGGGTCCTGTGGCAGGCCGCCGCTCATGAGCGCTTGCAGACGCCCCACCCGACCCAGGGTAGCGGCGACCGCGCCGCGCAGGCGCAGGACGAGCGCCGACGCACGCGGGCTTAGCAGCTGCCCGTCGTTGTCGCTGCCCTCCGTGCTGCTGCAGCTGGCCCCACTGCTGCTGACCCTGCCACTGCTCCTAGGACCGGTCCTGCCCCGCGGCCGACCCTCGACATCACAAGCCCCACCACGCCGCCGCGGCGCCGGCCTGCGTCTCCGACCAGCCTGGCGCGCATCGCCCAGCATCCGCTGCATCGCCTCGCACTCGTCCAGGCGGGCACGCACGTCCGCGGCCAGCGCCGCCGCCTCGTCCGCGACCGCGCCTGCGGCGGCCTCTTCGCGACCAGCACGGCTCTCGCTCCCCCGCTGCGGACCTCGCTGCCGTTGCTCCTCAGCCTCTGCCGAGGGCCGGCCCCCTTGTGTCACCTCCCGCTGCAGGCCCCCCTGGCGCAGCACCTGGCTGTCCTTGACCAACTGCTCCGCTCGCTGGCGGAGTGGCAGAGGCTGCACCTCCTGTGAAATGCCGGAGGCTGATACCACGGGTATCGTGGCATCCTGAGCTCGCCCCCGTGCCGCCGCCGTGACGCCCGCTGCCGCCTCTGCGTGTTGCGGCGGCTTGCCCTGCTGCTGCCGCGGCTCCGGCTCTTGTCGCCTGGACGAGACCGCCCCGGCCCCACATGCCTGCCGCCCGGAAGCATCGCCAGCGTCGCGTCCGTGCCACAGCCAGTCGCCAGACTGCATCACCTCCCTGCCCTCGAGCTCTGACTCACCGGCGCCGCTGCTGCTGGACCACCGCTCGTACCCGTCAGCAGCCAGCGAGCAGGCCGCAAGCTCTGCGCACTGCTGCTCGCCAAGCGACTGGCGCTGCGGCGACGCAGCCGCAACCCCGTCCGCTGTGGCATTGCCCAGCGATGGGGCCAGCGGTGGTGTTGAGCCGTTTGAAGGGGCCGCCGCTGCTGTCAGGGTTGTGTCGCGTGGAGAGGGCTCCGCAGCTGCAGAATCCCAGTGACCTCGCGATCTGCACTCTGGAGACCGGCGCTGGGGCCAGTCAGGCTCCCAGCGTGGGCCAGCGGCGGGGCTGGGACGCTGCCGCGGCTGGAGCAGCGACTGTGGCGACTGCTGCTCTGCAGGCCCCTGCTGGTGCAGCAGGTTTTGCGGCATTTGCTCAGGCTGCTGGTGCTGGTGCTGGTGCTGCTCCTGCTGCGGCTGCGACCCCTGCTGCGGCTGCTGCGGCTGCTGCTGTGTCGCCGGCTTCGTTCCCACAGATGCCTTGCTGGCAGACTCACCACAGCCCTCCTCTACTCTGGCACTCGCATCCGCCTGCAACAGCTTGCTCTCCTCCAGCTGGCACCGCAGTCCCTCAGCAATCTGTCTCGCCTCCGCCGCCCTCGCCTCGGCTGCTCTTGCAGCCTCGACTGCCGCGCCCACTCGCACACTCAGTGTGGCCTCGTGCGCCGCCGCATCCCTCCGGGCTGCGACGAGCTGGGCGCGAAGCTCCGCCTCCCGTGCTGCGGCTGCCTCCTGCGCGGCCCGCAGCTGCACGCCAGCCGCCTCCTTTGCAGCAGCGAGGTCGCGCTCCTGCCGCTCCGCCGTCGATCGCCTTTCAGACTCGATGGCGTCCGCGGCGAGCCGCGCCGCCTCGCGCGCTGACTCAGCGTCCGCTGTTGCGCACGCGGCGGCTTCACGCAGCACCTGCAGCCCCGACCGCAGCTCTGCCAGCTCGCGGCCGCCTTGCTGGCGCGCGGCCGCCAGCTCAGCTGCAACCCCCTCCAGCTGAAGGGGGTACCCGGGGCGTGGTGGTGGAGAAAGAGAGCGGTGCTATCGGCCATGAGGCAAGGGTCTACCCTCACTCGACGGCTCTCGCATGTGAGCAGCCGCCGCTCATGAAGCTCCAGGCATCGCTTAGTCTGCAGCGAATGCGCAAGCACTCCCAGACCAAGCAATCAAGCAACCAACGCACTCACCTGCCGCAGCCGCGCCTCCGCCTCATGCAAGCCGCGCCGCTGCGCCTCCAGCCGCGCCGCAAGGTGCGCCGCCCCCTCGCGTTGCCTCTCCGCCTCGGCCTCTGCGGCTGTGCGGCCCGCCCGCGCCTCCCGCAGCCCCTCTTCTGCGGCAGCCGCCGCCGCAAGGGCCGCAGCCGCGCTCGCCTGGTGAGCAGCCGCCGCCGCGCGCGCGGCGTCGGCTCGCCGCTGCAGCTCGTGCGCGGCGAGCCGCTCAGCGGCGAGCGCTGTGCTGAGGTCAGCGTTGTCGCTGCGCAGCGCCGCTAGCACCTCTGCGTACCGCCCTGGGGTGGGCGTCGCGCCTATGGCCGCCGCCGCTGCTGCCATTGCGCCGGCCTCGCCGCAGCCGTGCTCGTGCGGCGAAACGGTGCCCGCAGGACTGTGGGCCTCGGTGCTATTGCTGGCTGCGCCGGGTGCTTGGGGGCCGCCATCTTTGCACGTGACTGCAGTGGCCAGCTGCGTCCGCAGCTGCTGCAGCTCGGCAGCCTGGGACGCAAGCAGCTGCTTCGCGCGGCGGTATTTGCGCCGCACAAGGTCAGCGCCGCGGGCCGCGGGGCCCCCGCTTGGTGCCTCTGCTTCGGCACGCGCGGGCGCCGTACGTGCTTGCGGCGGTGACAATTCGCCGCCGTTGAGGGTGCTGTCAAACTCCAAAAACAGGGCGCGCCGCACGCCGTCGGCCTCTTCGGCGGCCATGCGGATCGCCAGCGGCGGTCAACGCAATGGTCCGCAGAGCTGATGCGCGCTGCGCTGTCCCCCGCGATAGTGCGGGGCAATGCGCGTCCGAGTAGCCCCACACGCAGGTGGGGAGACGATCAATCTAGGCTCATATTTATGTTGCAAGTACTGTATGATACGATCGAGCTTGCGCAACACGGTGCGATGGATACTGTAAGCCAGATCGCAAAGCAAGGATGATAGCCGTAACTATAAATAGAGGCAATTTTGTTGTGAAACCCGCTGAACCGTGCTTGGGAAAGTGCCGGCGGCCTCCGAAAGCCGAGAGGACTCGACTGTTTGATTGATTGCAATCGAAACCAGGGCATCCGAGCATTGCACAACCCCACAAATCCGTCATCAAGGCATCCTTATCATCAACGCCCTCAAACCTCAGAGCAAGCACAGCATCTGCGGCGAGTTCGAGCACCCGCAGCGCCCACCACGGTGCTTTGCACCAGCAGCAGGCTCCTCAGCGCGTCAGCGACCGTCGGCAGCGGCCTCTTACATGCTAGATTCCGTGCAACTAAGCAGAGCGAGAACAGCTGACGCGCGGGAAGCTCCAGGGCCCAGCTTGCAAAGATGCAGGTGCGTTCGGTCCGCCTGGGCAAGTCACGTGCCCCGTGACTGCGTGGTCTTATTGCATCGCAAGAACTCTGTCTCGCTGCATGCGGCGGCATGCTCGCTGCGGCAGGGACGCATGCGCATGCGCTGCGTGCTGCTCGTGCCGGCATTGGCCGCCGCAGGCACCCACGCCTGCATGGTGATGGTGCATCCCATGCCTGCACTCAATATGTAGCCTCAGTCACACGCCATCAAAGTCTGCGAACGCTGCATGGCGCGCCGATTGCCATGCCCAAACTGTGCGTCCCGCTCATCATCGCCCTTGCCATGCCCTGCTTGTCGCCGGGCCCGCCGCATCCCCAGAACATCGGCGGCGAGAACGCTGGTGATGCGTTCTACAGGTACAAAATGCCCAAGCTGATGGCCAAGGTGCGGGCTCACCGCCGCACTCGTACCCTGGCATGCTAGTAGCGACTGCAACATCGGCAGCGAGGCGCCGCAAGCTGGGGTGAGCGTGGTTGCCGACAGGCCCGGCGCCCGGCTTTGCTCACTCCGGTTTTGCCGCCCCTGGACCGCAGATCGAGGGTCGCGGCAACGGCATCAAGACCAATGTGGTGAACAACGTGGAGGTGGCTAAGGCCCTGGAGAGGCCGCCAGAGTGTGAGCAGCGGCATTCGCAGCAAGGGGGCAGGCCCGCCGCAGCCACCGCTTGTTGGGCACAACGACCTGTTGCTCCGAACAGTAGCCGTCTGTGTCCAAACCCTGCCTGTGGCGGCTGTCTGGGCGGCCGTCCCTCCCGTCTCGCCGCGCCCGCGGCTTCCGCGTGCGTGCCCGAAGCCCTCTCTCACCCCGACCCCTGTGGCCGCGCCTCACCACCCCCCTCAAACAAGCAGCCAACCTGCCAACCGCTCATGCGCCCCCCCCCCTTCACACCTACTCAACCCCTCTTCTTGGCCCCCAGACCTCCTGAAGTTCTACGGCTGCGAGCTGGGCGCCCAGACCAACTTTGACAAGGCCACAGGCACGTCCATCGTGAACGGCGCGCACGACCTGCGCAAGCTGGGTGAGCTGACCGAGGCGTTCATCAAGAAGTACGTGCAGTGCTACAGCTGCGGCAACCCCGAGACCGTGATGAAGGTCAAGAAGGAGTTCATCACGCTCAAGTGCAAGGCCTGCGGACACGTGGGTGCAGGGGGGGGGACGCTGGGACGCAAGGGGGAACACATGTGTGTG